TCCAACATTTCACGTTTCTCAAGTCAAACCTGCCCTGACCAGCCTGTCTGATTCTCTGACTCCCCTTAAACCTGAACTTGAACCTAATCAGTTCTTGTCTTCTCTGCCTCTTAGGAAGAAACCTGATTGAACCCTGGAACTCTGGAAGAGTTTCCTCTGCTGAAATCTGCCTGCCGGCTCTCAGGAGCTCATCTGAAGAAGCTAACTGTCTGAACCTGCCTGCCCGCCCTCAAGAAGAGGATCAGAAGAAAACTCTGGATCTGAACACTGATAGGTCTGAAGTCAAGCCCTGCCGTTGCTTAGCCCTCTGCCAACTTCTAGCCTCTGGACCCACCTGGTTCCCTCCCTCAGCTGCTAACCCAGAACCACGTCACAGGTACAAACCTGCACAATTCCTCTGGCAAAGACCTACCGCATCCTGGCTAACCTAACTGTCTCTCTTTATTAGACTTATCAGTTAGACTGTTTATTTCAATAAACAGTCTAACTTTTCATCTGCCTCCGTTGTGTTCTGCATGTGGGTTAGAAATCTGTATCCCATCATGACACTTTGGAGCTAGAATCCTTATACACTAGATTGATCCACGCCACAAATTATTTCCCAAAGCCCATTTCTATTAGTGTCTGTCTCAGAAACACCCAGTCAACTTGATCAAATGCTTTCTCAGCATCCAAGCTGAGAAACATTGACGATTGTGTGTCTTCTCGTGCTATTGTCTGCAGGTTCAGGGCTCTCCTTATGTTATTTGTTCCTTGACGTCCTTGTATGAATCCTGTTTGATCTGGTTGTATTAATTTCTTAATATTTTTTTGAATCCTGGTAGCTATTATGGAAGTCATAATTTTATAATCCACACAGAGGAGACTTATAGGGCGATAACTGGTACATTGATGGGGGTCCCTCCCATCCTTATGTATTACCGTTAATATGGCTTCCGACCATGAATTTGGGGGGTCTCCTGATTTTTAATATGTAATTATAAAATTTACATAGTATGGGAGCGAGTTCATGCACAAACATTTTGTAGTTTTCCCTGAAAAGCCGTCCATTCCTTGTGATTTATTGATTTTTTTAATTTGGTGATGGTTTCTCTAATTTAATTTTCTGTGATAGGTTCCGTTAACTTTTTTGCATCCTCACTAGATAGCTTATTCAAATTTAGGGGTCTTAAAAACTCTGTAACTTTTTCTTCCTTAAATTCCAGTTGTTCTGCTGTATATAAAGTGTCACCCTTTCCCATTTGTTTGTGTTTGCTTGTCAACTTTTTTATTTCTGATGTCTGAAATGATTGTCTATTCCTAAATTAATCTTCATGGTCACAGGGCCATGGTCTGAGATGATGATTGGCTCAATCGTGCTCTCTTTTACCCTATGCAATTCAGTTGCATAGCATATGGTAAAAGAGAGTTGCATGGGAGTTATTCAAGATCTATCCTCAAATAACTCCCATGAACATTGGACAGAAACGTGAAATCTCACATTAGGGTGTAGTTGACGCCACATATCTACTAGACCTAGTTCCATCATCATATTTGATAATGCCTTTAACATTTTAGATTGGGATTTTCTTATTGTAGGTAACCTGTCCAACTTTGAATCCAGGGTAGTTAAAGCCTTTGCAATTTGGATGAGGGAAACTAAGGGTTAAATGTTCAAAAGAGTTGTAAGACTGAAAGATTGTTCCTCCTCGCCCAGATTTCTGGGTTTGTTAAAATTTAAACAACTTGAATGAGTTTCCTCATTTATGCTCACATAATCCTCTTGCTGCAGCCAGGTTTCTGTAAGGCAAAACAAATCAATGTGATTATCACAAATCAAGTCATTAACTAGCAGACTTTTAGAGGCAAGAGATCCTATGTTAAACAGACCACATTTAATCATTTTAACTTTTTCCCCAATTGGAGTTATTTTGATTTTAATTAGATTATCATGATTTACTCCTGTAGCAATCTTTGCCAATTAATTAGAATTTGGTCATTGGCAAGACACTGTCTGGATGGAGTAAAGAGTGGGTAACAGTAGAAAAGCTGCAACTATGACTCCGCTTCCTGGTCTGCACCCTGGGTGTTCATCAGTTGTGCATCAGATGAACACAAGAGGGTGCCACTAATTACTAAAAATGTGGAATTTTGTCATTGGCAGAGCTAAAAAGTTTAGAGATCTTCATAATTTTGTACTGTCAACAGCAAAAATTCCAGCATTAGATTGAAGCTCAATGAGCTCTATTTATGTGTTGGATCCTGCTTTGGAAGATAAAGTTTTAAGAGTTGAAGGCCGGCTTTATACTATGGTACCAATCTAGCTAACATTTAGCTTCTATGATAAAGTTCTGTCTTATTCCCAGTGTACACTTTCAAATCTCTCACCTTTTGTCTCTCTGGATTTTCAGGTTAGAACGGAGCTCTCTTGGAGTGATCCTTCAGCGTCAAGTTTTCTTGTGACCAACCTCCGCTACCTGCTCCCCTGTGCAGCTTCGCTACACTCTGCCTACCCGCTCTCGACCGCCTCTGTGACAACTCTCGCTCCTCCAGCATGTGCCTCCAGCCACCTGCACAGACTGTGGCTGTTTTTCCCCAGGGACTCACGGTTCTTCCCCATCCAGCTTGGCTGAGTTTTCCAATAAAACTTCTCCCTTCAGTTTGTGTCCGTGCCTGATTCTACATGTGGGTCAGAAAGGTTCAGCCAGATATGACACAGGCGAAGTGAAACATATGATAATTCTGACCAAAGAATAACACATCTCCAAGTTAATCCTCAGGTATTTTCATCAAGTTCTTGGACATGCAGGACGGGCACATGCACTGTAAGCCGTAAGGAAAAGGTTCTGGATTATAAAGGGAAATTCTCCTGTGAGAAAGGTTATTGGTGAGTGATGCATCTGCAGGCAGTATAACAGTCAATCCTTAATGCAAAAAATCTCTGACTTGCCAGTTGCATGGATTCTCCCAGAAATTTCGCCATTTTGTAATACTGGGGTTGATTATTTCGGGCCATTTAAAGTTAAAAAAAGGAAGAGCATGCTGCAAGAGATAAAGTGTTTTATTTCCTTGCCTGGCAAGTCGAGCCATCTGTCTAGAGATTTCAGCTACTCTGGAAAAATCTAGAAATAAGTAAAATCCGTCAAACTGAGTGTATTTACCTTTATTTTGAGAAGGTAAATGTATTATGTCTGTAAAGTATTTTCACTCTTAGAATAAGATAATTAGATAATATGCACTTGAAATAAGACAATGCAATTCTTCCATCCATCCATCTTCCTCCGCTTATCCGGGGTCGGGTCGCGGGGGCAGCAGCTTAAGAAGGGAGGCCCAGACTTCCCTCTCCCCAGCCACTTCTTCTAGCCCCTCGAGAGGAACCCCAAGGCGTTCCCAGGCCAGCCAAGAAACATAGTCTCTCCAGCGTGTCCTGGGTCTTCCCCGGGGCCTCCGGTGGGACGTGCCCGGAACACCTCACCAGGGAGGCGTCCAGGAGACATGCTAACCAGATGCCCAAGCCACCTCAACTGGCTCCTCTCGACGTGGAGGAGCAGCGGCTCTACTCCAAGTCCCTCCCGGATGACCGAGCTTCTCCCCTATCTTTAAGGGAGAGCCCAGCCACCCTACAGGGGAAACCCATTTCCACCGCTTGTACAGTATCCGCGATCTCATTCTTTCGGTCATGACCCAGAGTTCATGACTATAGATGAGGGTAGGAACGTAGATTGACCGGTAAATTGAGAGCTTCGCTTTTTGACTCAGCTCTCTCTTCACCACGATGGACCGGTACAGCGCCCACTTCTCTGCAGACACTGCGCCAATCCGCCTGTCGATCTCACGAGTAACGGTGGTTTTAAAAATGTAAGGAATAAAAAGTACAGATACTTGTGTGAAAATGTAATGCGTAGAAGTCAGAAGAAGGAAGAAAAATAAGTAATGGAGTAAAGTATAGATACCTAAAAAGTGTACTTAAGTACAGTAACAAACTATTTGTACTTCGTTACTTGACACCTCTGTTGTTGTTATTGGATATCCATTGTTAAACAAGAAATGCATATCAGTTCGAACATGAGACCATCAACACACCGTAGTAACATATGGAATTCAAGAAATTGCGTTGTTGCGTGCTGCTGTGGGTAAGTCAGAGGAAAGTTTGTGTTGGGATCTGGAGGTCTGTCCACCTTTCTCCAGCAGAGGGCGCCCTAGGTCTCCTGGAGCTGAAGGCTGACGACCACACCTGAGGCTCATTGGCTCATCAGGAGACCAGCATTTAAGCAGCGGCAGGACAACACTCCAGTGCCAGAGTGTTAGGCCGTTATGGTTAGCAAGCCTGAGCCAACCAACCTGTCTGATTCTCTGACTCGCTTGATACCTGAACCTGAACCTAACCAGTTTTGTCCTCTCTGCTTCCTAGGAAGACCTGAACTGAACCCTGAAACTCTGGAAGAGTTTCTTTTCTGCGTTACCTGTCTGATCTCAATAGATCATTGGATAATCGAGTTGTCTGAACCTGCCTGCCCGCTCTCAAGAAGAGAACTGGAGATAACCTCTGATCTGAACACCGAGAAGTCTGAAGTCAAGTCCCGCCACTGCCAAGCCCTCTGCTCACCATCTGCCTCTGGGCCCTCCTGGTTCCCTCCCTCTACCGCTCAGTCAACTACTGAACAGGTACAGACCTTCAAACAACCAAACCTGAAACCCAGCTAACTGAACTGTCCCTCTCTGCAGAGAACCCTGTCATGACCAGTCCTGGACCAGTCCCCAAATCAGTCTTTATTATTATCATTGTGTTTTCTAATAAACAGTTAAACTTATTCTCCGGGTCTGAGTGTATTCTGCATGTGGGTTAGGTCCCTTAATCCCACCATGACAGAACACTCTGGCCAACAAACTAACCCAGCAGTCCATCTCAGGAGGATGATTGAAGAACAAGGAGCCCTTATCCAAGGTCACGACTCCACCCTCCGTGAGTTCAATACACGTTTGGACCAAACTAACCAAACTTTGCAGCAATTATCTCAGAGATGCTACTCCCAGAGCGGAGCCAGCTCAACTTCCGGAGCCAGACCCGCCTCAAAGGTCAGAACCTGTTTCGTCATTTCCTGAATTCCGTCCGTCACTTCCTGAAAGATTTTCTGGTTTAACTGATAAATGTAAAGGTTTCCTATTCCAGTGCAAGTTAATTTTTGAACATTCGCCGTCCAGTTTTTCCAATGACAAGAGAAAGATTGGTTTCATCCTCTCTCAATTGACCGGACGAGCCCTTGAATGGGCTGAAGCCAGATTTCCCTCAGTTTCTAGTATAACTTGCACCTTCGACGAATTTATAACAGAATTTTCTCAAGTTTTCAATCATGATTCAGACAAATCAATTGATTCCCGAGCTCTGCTAAGTTTACATCAAGGCAATAAAACTGTAGCCGAGTTTTCGATCGACTTCCGTGTCACAGCAGCTGCTTTCGGGTGGAACGAATGCGCGTTGAAAAGCGCTTTCTTGAAGGCTTTAAATGAAGAAATAAAGGATGAATTAGCCACCATTGACGAGCCAGCTACTCTGGAGGAATTAATCAGGCTTACAATCCGTTTGGACAATAGACTTCGAGCCAGAACCAGAGCCAAAGTAAGGAGCCATGTCTATTCTGTACCTGCCTCATTTTCTAAGAGTGTTTCTGTTTCTCCTGTTTCATCTTAAATCGACCCCAGACCTAAGAGTCGTAACCAGCCTGTTTCTGTTCCTGCCTCCTTGACTCATGGCATCTCTCCCTCCACAGCAACCTCTGATGTAGAGCCTATGCAGGTCGGTCATACCAGACTCATGACCGAGGAAAGGCAAAGGAGATACAAGGGGAATCTCTGTATGTACTGTGGTGAGCCCGGCCATTTTGTCTCCACCTGCCCAGCTAAGGTAAAAGCCGGGGTCCGCCAGAGGATATGAGGAGCCTGGCGGACCATCTACAATCTGAAATATCTCCTCATCTGCTACTACCTGTACTATTCATTGCTGACCAAACCCTCACTTTGTCCGCATTCATAGATTCTGGTTGTGAAAAGAATCTTATAGACTCTAACCTGGTTAAACAATTAAACATTGAAACCATTCCCTTGAAGAAACCTCTTAGAGTTTCAGCCATAGATGGAAAAAAGTTGCATCAAGTCACACACCAAACTCAGACTCTTGAACTTCTGATCTCTGGAAACCACAGAGAGACCATATCCTTTTTTGTTTTCCCATCTGCCTGTTCGTCTCTAGTTTTGGGATATGAGTGGTTAGAACTACATAACGCTCACATAAATTGGGCAAAGAAACACATAGTATCCTGGTCTGCCTCCTGCCATGTCTCCTGTCTTCCGTTCCGCAGCGCCATCTATTCAGTCGCCAAGCAATCGAAGGGAGGTTGAACCACCTGATTTGTCCTCAGTTCCCTCTGACTATCATGATCTGGCACCAGTCTTCAGCAAGGTCAGTGCACTCTCTCTACCTCCTCACAGACCATATGACTGTGCCATTGATCTATTACCTGGGGCTCCCCTCCCTAGCAGTGGACTCTTCAACATCTCCAAACCAGAAAGGGAAACGATGGAGAAATACATTGAGTCCCTAGCTGCCGGGATTATTCGTTCGTCCTCATCCCCTCTTGGTGCTGGTTTCTTTTTTGTAGGGAAAAAGGATGGGACTCTCCGACCATGTATTGATTACAGGGGACTCAATCAGATAACTATTAAAAACAAGTATCCCTTGCCTCTGTTAGCGTCTGCGTTTGAACCCATTCAATGGGCTACTGTGTTTACAAAACTGGATTTAAGGAATGCCTATCATCTCCTCAGAATGAGAGAAGGAGATGAGTGGAAGACGGCCTTCAAGACCCCTCTAGGTCAATTTGAATACCTGGTAATGCCTTTTGGTTTGACTAACGCTCCGGCCTGTTTTCAAGCCCTGGTTAACGACGTATTGAGAGATTTCCTTAACATTTTTGTTTTTGTTTATATTGATGACATCCTGATTTATTCCAAGAATCTGTCTGATCACAAGAAACATGTCCGCCTGGTTCTCCAAAGACGTCTCGAAAACAAGCTTTTTGTCAAAGCTGAAAAGTGTGAGTTTCACCAACCTTCTGTCACCTTTCTAGGATTTGTGCTCGAGGGCGGGCAGGTGAAGCCATCAGAGGACAAGATTAAAGCTGTTCTGGACTGGCCTACCCCCGAGAATCGCAAGCAACTTCAAAGGTTTCTGGGTTTCGCAAATTTCTACAGAAGATTCATCAAAAATTATAGTCAGACAGCCCAGCCTCTCACCGCTTTAACTTCTGTCAAAAGAGCTTTCCACTGGTCAACTGAAGCTGAATCTGCATTCAAGAAACTCAAGGCTCTTTTTTCCAGTGCTCCTATCCTGATTCAACCTGACCACTCTAAGCAGTTCATCTTAGGGGTGGATGCATCTGATTCCGGAGTGGGGGCTGTGTTGTCCCAAAAGTCTGACATTGATCACAAAACTCACCTTTGCGCCTTCTTCTCTCGCAGGCTTTCCCCAGCAGAGCAAAACTACGATGTCGGAGACAGAGAACTCCTGGCAATCAAATGGGCTCTGGAGGAGTGGCGGCACTGGTTGGAGGGCGCTGAACACCCCGTGTTGGTATGGACCGACCATAAAAACCTGTCCTACATTCAGTCTGTCAAGAGGTCCAATCCACGTCAGTCCCATTGGTCTCTGTTCTTTTCACGATTTAATCTGATCATCTCCTACAGACCTGGATCCAAGAATGTTAAACCTTACTCTTTCTCACGTCTGTACTCACCTGATAAACCTGAAGAACCTGAATCTGTCTTGCCTGCCTGCTGCACCGTAGGGGCTGTTTCCTGGGAGATCACTGACCTGATCAACCTTGCCCAAGATTCTGAACCTGACCCAGGAAATGGACCACCCAATCGGACGTATGTACCCTCTTCTGTCAGATCTCGTCTAATTCACTGGATGCATTCTGCCAAGTTTTCAGCCCATCCAGGAATAAGCAGAACCATTGCCCTTATCTCTCGCCATTTCTGGTGGCCGTCCCTTCACAAGGATGTGAAAGAATAAGTTTTGGCTTGCCCCATCTGTGCCAGAAACAAACCATCCCATCAGCCTCCTTCTGGTCTGCTTACTCCATTACCTGTACCATCTCGTCCCTGGTCCCACATTGCAGTGGATTTTGTTACCGGCCTCCCCGTCTCCAAGGGTATGACAACAATTCTCACAATAATTGACCATTTTTCTAAGTCCTGCCATCTTGTTCCCCTCAGGAAACTCCCGACAGCTTTTCAAACTGCACAACTACTCATAAAGCATGTCTTCCGACTCCATGGCATACCTCAGGAGATCCTGTCTGATAGAGGCCCCCAATTCACAGCCCAGGTCTGGAAAAATTTCTGCTCTGCCCTTGATTCTAAGTCTTCACTCTCTTCAGGTTACCATCCTCAATCAAATGGACAAACAGAGAGGATGAATCAGGAACTAGAATCCACTCTTCGTTGCCTAACCTCCACCAACCCACAGTCAATTTCTCCCATGGATTGAGTATGCCCATAACTCTCACACTTCATCTGCAACCGGTCTGTCCCCTTTTGAAATCTCCATAGGTTACCAGCCACCTCTGTTTCCCACCGATGAAAAAGATATATCTGTTCCGTCTGTTCAACACCACATCCGTCGCCTCCAGAAGATTTGGAAGGACACCATAGCCACTCTGAACCAGACATCAGCTCAAAACAAACGCTTCGCCGATCGCAGACATCGCCCAGCTCCCAACTATTCACCCGGTCAACAGGTTTGGCTTTCCACACGCGATATCCCGTTAAAATCCATTTCCCGCAAACTCTCCCCCAGATTCATCGGTCCATACAAGATAGCCTCCGTCATCAACCCGTCTGCCGTCCGCCTGCACCTGCCACCTTCACTCCGCATCCATCCTACGTTCCATGTGTCTCAAATCAAGCCTGTTCTGACCAGCCCTTTGTGCCCTCCGTCCGACTCCCCTCCACCCGCCCGGGACATTAATGGTCACCCTGCCTTCACCGTTCACCGGATCGTGGACTCCCGTTGCCGGGACTGCGGTTGGCAGTACCTGGTCGTCTGGGAGGGCTACGGTCCGGACGACCGCACCTGGGTTCTGGGATCCTTCATCCTGGATCCCTCCCTGATCGACGACTACCGTGAGTCTCTGCCTTCTACATCCTCTGGACCGCCAGGAGGCAGTCGTTGAGGGGGGGGGGGTACTGTTGGGATCTGGAGGTCTGTCCATCTTTCTCCAGCAGAGGGCGCCCTAGGTCTCCTGGAGCTGAAGCTGACGACCACACCTGCGGCTCATTGGCTCATCAGGAGACCAGCATTTAAGCAGCGGCAGGACAACACTCCAGTGCCAGAGTGTTAAGCCAGTTACGGTTAGCAAGCCTGAGCCAACCAACCTGTCTGATTCTCTGACCCCCTTGATACCTGAACCTAAACAGTGTTGTCCTCTCTGCTTCCTAGGAAGACCTGAACAGAACCCTGAAACTCTGGAAGAGTTTCTTTTCTGCGTTACCTGTCTGATCTCAAGAGATCATTGGATAATCGAGTTGTCTGAACCTGCCTGCCCGCTCTCAAGAAGAGAACTGGAGATAACCTCTGATCTGAGCACCGATAAGTCTGAAGTCAAGTCCTGCCACTGCCAAGCCCTCTGCTCACCATCTGCCTCTGGACCCTCCTGGTTCCCTCCCTCTACCGCTCAGTCAACTACTGAACAGGTACAGACCTGCATTATCCTTCAAACAACCAAACCTGAAACCCAGCTAACTGAACTGTCCCTCTCTGCAGAGAACCCTGTTGTGACCAGTCCTGGACCAGTCCCCAAATCTTTATTAATCATTGTGTTTTCTAATAAACAGTTAAACTTTTCCTCCATGTCTGAGTGTGTTTTGCATGTGGGTTAGGTCCCTTAATCCCAACATGACAGTTTGCTGCTGTGATATATGTTTGTTCTCATGTATGGATGTTGTTCATGTTTAGGTCTTTACAATATGTCGCTTATTATTGTTTGTATGTTATTTTGCAGTTTTGACCATCATTGTGGGTTTAAAAAAGCATTTTGTTATTATTTCTTGGTTTTTTATTTTGGCGTGAACAACCGGTGATAGTCCAGTTTAGCTCGGTTGAATATTGTTTTTATTCTGACATTTAGGGCTGGAAAGCAGGGAGAGTGCATAGAAGAGGTTAATTTGTTATTTTTCTCTTCTCCCCCAGGTATGTATTTTTTGTTTTAAGTTATTGTTTTTTAAACTTTAGTCAAATTATTCTTTACCCTCTTTAAAATAGCTAGCAGCAAATAGACATCAGAATTTTATTAAATTCCTCTTGGTAACATATGAACACTAATGTTATATCAGTGTTTAAACCCTTAGTGAAAGGGTTGTCCAAGCTTGTTGAAGCTTGTCCAAGCTTCAACAACAGCTCAAAATATGTTACTACAGCATAGCATGCAGTCCATCTTGTTGGCTTGTCTCTACTCATCATCAAAAGACATATTGTTTGTTCTGTCCCTAATCATGCCAGACCAGGAAAGCTTTTTATCCAGTTCAATTTGGAAGGGTTTAGTTTAATCCAGCTGCAGCTCATCAGTCCGGGCAGGCTCTCTTTTGTCTCAGTGGCTCACAGTAGGGGTCCTCTTTGTCTCAATAGCTCATCGAGGCAGGCTTTTTATCCAGTCTGGCTCTATAACTTTTAAAACTCAAAAAAAAAAAAAAAAAAATCAAGAAAAATGTCTTGCAAAAGGTCTGGTGGTTGGTTGCACCTCTGTGACTTTCCATGTGACTGAGGATGTGATCTATATTTCACTGTTGTCTAGAGTAAGGAGGCATCTGCTTTCTGTCACCCCTTTACTAAACATTCCAGCTTAAAGAATGACACAAGGTTTCTCTAAACTCACTCCTATTTAGGCAGAGAAAAGGCACACTAAATATTGCAATATTTCATCACAAATAGACAGAGGAAAACATGCTTTTACAGACCCATAAAGGGCCAGTGCAGCTTGAGAACCCACGAAGAGGTGGCGCAGATAGCAAGGGATGCCAACGGACGGGCCATGGAGACGAGGAGCGCCATCGGAGGGGCCTTAGCAGATATGACTGAGGAACAAGAACACTAAAAGGATCTGACTGTTGGAAAAGAACACTTATAGGATCAAAATGTGATGGTGGGGGCTCTGGCTTAGGGACAGGCTCACTAAAGGTTTCTGGCTCAAGGACCGGCCCAAAAAAGTCAGGAGCCTTCCCAGATCGATACCTGTAGTCCAATTTGAATTCTACATGGTATCAAATTTGTCATTAATTTACAGATAATGGAGATCAGAGTATCTTATCGCACTGTATCATGAGCAATCCTACCTATGCATTCTGGAATGGGATGTTCTTCATAATCTCTGTAACAACTGATAGGAGAACGGGTTACAATATGAAAAAAACTATGTGATAGAGAGTGATTAGTCAAGATTAAATAATTCAACTTATTAAAAAGTCAAATGCATCTCCTGTAAGTGCATTAGTATTTTTTTTAAAGCCACTGAGGACTTTTATTCTTCTCTTTATAATATTCTTATTTTCAATATTTTATTGTATTTCTTTTATTGTTTTTAAAGCGCATTTATCAGTTCTGCTTTCTTTGTTTAACACATCTTTTTTAATTAGTTATTTGTGTTATAGGAAATGGTTGGTAACACACGTTATTATGATGTTCTGCACAGCCCCCCCATTAGATGGCGCCACAGATCCTCTGGCTTTCCTCCATCCACATCTACCATCCAATATGTGAAAAGCCATCTGAATGTTCTCCTTCATTAATTTAGTGTACACTTTACTATACTTTTCTCCTATTTCTGCTCTTAAAAGCTTTATTTTTACCCTTTTTGGGCTGATGTTACTCCATTTATAAAATACATTTTTATAAAAAAACACACAAAAAAACAACCTTTTTGCTAACAGTCTTTTTTGCTGAAAAAAAAATGGTGCAAGGAGTTTGGCCCCAAGACGGTACGACTTGATAAAGCAGAAGAGAATGAATATCAGTATGTTTTATAATTTAAAACAGTTCTTCAGGTAATTTATTTTCTATGAACAATGTGGTTAAAGTTTCCTCATATAGAGGAAGCCCTCCTCATTACTCAGGAAGAAGGCGGTTTAACTTGAAATCACTTTCTCAGCAGTAGAAACAGTCAGATGAGAGAGTGGAACGATGAGGGGAACATCTCTACCATGTCTGCTCTGTAAGTAGGAAATCTTTTAGCTGGTTTTCCTAAAGTGATCTTTCTGTTGGGAATGATTGATAAAATGATTTCATGACAAATTATTTAGCTGAAATCAGATAAAACAGAATGTAAAGATTTATAACGGGATAAAGAAAAATGTCTGTTATTTTATTTAAATTGTTTTGAATCAAGAAATCAACTTTACAAAAAGATGTTAAGTTTGACATTTCTATGCTGACTATAGAGTCTCAGTGAGCAATTAATCAGAAGGCCAAAGATTGAATTTATTAATAATTGTGTCTTTAGGGCTGGCCTTCCTTCGCTGTTCTACAACAGAACAAGGTTGGTAATTATGTATTTTATTATCTAAAATAAAATGCAGTTTAACAGTTGTGGTTCTTTTGAAAGTTAAGTAATTTTTTTCACTCCTCCCAGCTGCTCTGACTGTGAGTCCCAGCAGATCTCAGTTCTTTCAGTTAGACTCTGTGTCTCTGAGCTGTGAGGAGAACAACAGCTCTGCTGGATGGACTGTATGGAGGAACACAACCAGAGGACAGTCTGAGTGTAAAGGTCCATGGGGGAAACCAGATGGGCTAAGATGTAATATGACCTATTTGTACCCATCAGACAGTGGAGTTTACTGGTGTTGGTCCAGAGAGGGAGCAGCCAGCAGCAGCATCCAGCTCACTGTCACTGGTAAGATCAGACTGTGGAGTTAGTGTTGATGAAGCTGTATGGAAATGGATGAAATGCTGTAGTTTGTCTCTGTGTTGAGGTGGATCAGTGATCCTGCAGAGTCCTGTCCTCCCTGTGATGG